GATCAAGTGGCTCAGTCGCGGGCTGGTGCTGAAGAGGTTTTTTGAATCGTTGGAAGAAATTGATTCCTTTATGTCATCCAGAGGAAAGCCCCTGCCTCAGCTGAGTTCTCAAGACTGGATCAAAGACTTGGCCTTCTTGGTCGATATGACAATGCATCTGAACACTTTGAACCTCTCTCTCCAAGGGCATTCACAAATCGTTACGCAAATGTACGACTTGATTCGGGCGTTTCTGGTGAAACTGTGCCTTTGGGAAACTCATTTGGCCAGGAACAATCTGGCTCACTTTCCCACACTGAAATCGGTTTCCAGAAATGAAAGCGATGGCCTGAACTACATCCCCAAAATCGCAGAATTAAAGACTGAATTCCAGAAACGGTTGTCTGATTTCAAACTCTATGAGAGTGAACTGACCCTGTTCAGCTCCCCTTTCTCCATGAAGATTGAGAGTGTTCCTGAAGTGCTGCAGATGGAGGTTATTGATCTGCAGTGCAACACAGTACTGAAAGCCAAGTACGACAAGGTGGGAATACCAGAATTCTACAAATACCTCTGGAGTAGCTACCCGAAATATAAAAACCATTGTGCGAAGATTCTCTCCATGTTCGGGAGCACCTACATTTGTGAACAGCTGTTTTCCATTATGAAACTGAGTAAAACGAAATACTGCTCCCAATTAAAGGACTCACAGTGGGACTCTGTACTCCAGATCACGTGATGAACACGCTGCAGGCAACACCCCACGGAGATAAGATTAGAATCCTCTAGGCCCCAGGGATTGTGAGAAGGGAAAGTGAATTATTAACGATTTCTGTTTTTCAGGGGGTTTTCCACTATGACGCGTAAATATAATTTGCAGCATCATACCTGTTTGTATGACATTTTATGCTTCACTGTAGTCCAGTAAAAATCAAGAAGGTTTTCTTGTATTTCTAGTAGCTGGCTTTTCTTATGTCTGGCCTGTGTCACTCATTCACATACTTGCTTGACCCCTGTAGGCACTGGGGCTCACATCTCGAGGTTTAAATCAATCAACAGAGAACAGAGGGAGATAAACAAATGTGTGTATTCATTGAGGGGCACATATGCACACACGTTTATCTCCCCCTCTTTCTCATGCTGTCCCTGTGACCTAACATGATGCCAAGTTTAAGGAGAGTCGATTGGAGACATACTGACAGACTGTAGTATTCCTGTGTTATCAGCTTCTGCATCCACAAGATCCCAGAAAGATAGGACTTAAAATGGAAAACCCCAAAACAAATAACATTTGCATTGAAAAGGCAAAAAACGTTGATGGAGATTTGGAGATTTTTTTTTACTTTATTTTAAAATAATTTCAAATTTACAGAAAAGTTAAAGAAATCAAAATAATATGAAGAACATTTATATGCCTTTTAGCCAGATTCTCCTATTGTAACCTTTTACCCATTTTATCGTTTGTTTGCTTTCTCTCCCTCTTGCTTAAATGAGTGTGCATTTGTGTACAACATTGCCTAAATGAATGAGTATCTATAATGTGTATATAAACATCATATGTGCATATTTTTTTTCTGCACCATTTGAGGGAAAGTTACATACATCAGGGCCAGCCAAGTAGTGTGTTGGTTAAGAGTTGGCTTGGGACCCGAGCTCTGAGCAGCAGGACCCCAGTTCAGATCCCACATGAGGGCCAGTGACACTGTGCCCTCTACAGCTAAGATGGTGAACAACAGCTCGACCTGGAGCTGGGCTGCTGTGAGTCGTCAGCAACGGCGTAGGCTGCAGCCCCTGCTGCAGTGGGCTGCTGTGAGCTATCGTGAGTGGCTGGCAGCCGGTTTGAGCTGCCAGAAGCCGCTTTGAGCAGCCGTCCATTGGCCGGCGAGTGACTGCCTCAGCCAGGAAGAGCACAATGATAATACCAACAGGGGCCAGTGAAGCGACATCCTCCACAGCTAGACTGAAGAACAAAAGGACAGCAACTTGTCTGTTCCCCTTCCCCAATTCCCCACGCTGTTCCCCTCCCCCAATTCCCCAATAAAATCTTAAAAAAGAAAAAAAAGTTACATACATCATTTAAACCTAGCTTATTAAAAACTAAAGTATTTTCTAAGAATAGGGATATTCTACATTATCAGGATTTAGTCACCAATTCCAGTAAAGCGGACATTGACGCAATGCTTTCATCTAGTTTACTGTAAATACTCCAGTTTTGTCAGTTGACACAATTATGTCCTTTCCTTCATAGCATTTTCCCCCTGGAGGGTTGCGTTTGAAAGCATATGTATATACAGGTATATGTATATGTATAAATATGTATGTGTATAGGTGTAGGTATGCATTTATATGTGTTCTCAGTCTCTATTCATCACTGGAATTAGTGACCCAAAATTGTGAATGAAAGAATTAATCTGACTAGGGTGCAAAAAGGCTGAGGATTCTGACCCAATGACCCATTTAAGAAGCAATGGAGAGGAAAGCTTTGATAAAAGTGAAGGGAGGTTGCAGGTGGGAGACCAGCCTCCAGGTGGTTACCTGCACAAGGCACCCAGCCCCAGCTGGAGCCTGAACACATGTCCTCAGACACAGGGGACATGACCCAACCCCAGCAGTTCCTGTCATTGAGAAGCTGACTACAGGTACACCTGGGTCCCACTAGCTCAGAGGCTCACTTCCTGGGGAAGGGATGCAGGATGGACTGGTTTACAATGAGGACTAGCTCCTGGTGCACCAGAGCAGATGTGGACCCCGAATAACCAGACTTGCCTGGAACTCCCAGCGCTCTTGGAATTGGGATCTCACGTAATCTTCAAACAACCTGGCATGCCTGGCAGGAAAAGATCAGTCTCCTCATTTTATAGACAGGCATCTGAGGCTCAGCATGGTTGAGTGGCCTGCCCCAGACCACACGTCCAGTAGAGGAATCTTCAGGATTCAAACCCAGGTCCGTGGATTCCATGTTCTTCCTTTTCTAAGTAGCCACTGTGCCTATCATGGAGACCTTGCAGGTGCCTGTTGTACAGCCTCAGTTCATCGTCTGTCATGTGTGTGTCACCCTGGTGGTTAGCCCATTGGTGACAGGGAAGGGACAGCAGGGTTCAGCCTGGGCTGCCTTCAGTTAATGGGACCATTCATGGGGTGCTTTGACTCAACTCCTGAGGCCCCTAGTTTCCTTCTTTACCATTTGTTGGGACCAGGGTGGCTTGACCAGCACTGTCACTTGTGTGACTGAGCCAAGACTGGGAGAAATGACGGAATGAGTGGGATGGTTTTCAGTAGTCATGGTGATGTGGTGTCTGCAAATGGGAGCACTTAGGAGTGACGTGGTCACAGAGATGGGCAGAGGCCCAGCCCAGGAGCTGGGGGCTGGATTTGGTGGGTTCCTGTCAGTTCCTGGGGCAGGGGTTACACTGCCTCTGTCCCAAGGCCCTGTCTTCCCATCCAGGATGGGCAGAGGAAAGAGGGGATCACTCCAACACAGGACCCGGAAGCGGGGGACTGTGGAGAGCTCTGGAAGCCAGGCCATATCACACTTCCTACTCTGAGCTTCCCTCAGCCACCGCACAGCCCACCAGGACTGATGCACAGATCATGAGCTCTGCGGTGTCGGGATAATGTAGTGGGTCCAGCAGGGGTTTGGAATCACTTGGAAACGGCTGGATCCACCTCCCAGTTCTGCCACCTACTTGCCCTGTTAAACAACACCTCCATTTTCTGAGCCTTGGTTTCCTCATCTGTAAAATACCTACCTGATGGGGTTGTTCTCAGAGCTAGAAACAATGTAAAGAGCCCAGCACCATGCTTGGACTCAAGAAGACTGGCTGCACAGATAGTGCAGGCCTAGCTCAGACCTCCCTGGTGCCTACAG